TTTAGAAATATCAGAATAGTGACAACTTGCTACCTTCATTTTCACAACTTACCCAGGCAAACATTTATTTTGCTTTATTTTCTGTTTATTGAGAAACCCTAAACCAGTTCTCTTTTAATGGCAAAACGTCGTCTAAAGTTAACAAGAAATGTTTTGGCAACAAAGATCGATTGCCACTTTTTGATCAGACGATGATTATGATGGTAACCTGATATCGTTTTGGTGGTGGAAAATCGCTACTTCCTTTTGGAATCGATATCATTACTAGAGGAATTGGTGGCCAAGGTAAAATATAAAGAAATATCAAATTCAAAGTCGTTTTATTCAAAACTTTGATATCGGAGTCTATAAAAGTGTTCCCTAGAAAATGTTGCAAATTGTACCTAGTTTCACCCTATCTAAATGAAAAGGGGTGGTTCCATATGAAATTTGTGAGTTATTTGACAAAAACCAAAAAAAAAATGACCCGAATTTTCTATATTTATTGGTACTAAAGAATGAAATATCGAATTCAAAGTTGTTTTATTCAAAACTTTTTATATCGGAGTGTATATAACTGTTGGCACAAAATCTTAGTAAATTTTATCTAGTTTCTCATAAGCTAACTCAAAAAACGTGCTCCCATATAAAAACTCTGAGTTATTTAAAAATTGTAAAAAAAGTCTGAGTTCACAACTGTCAAAATTAATCGAAATTTCCAAAATTTTGACATTTCCAATACGCTCTTAAATTTTTAATATACCCTATAACCTAAGTTCGTTTTAAATACACAAAATGAGCCAAAAAAAATTAAAATCGGTTCAGTAGTTTAGGAGAACATTCCGGACAAACATTCGTGACACGAAGTAATTTCACCTCCAACCCCTAACTTCTATTCACGTCCATTTCGGGTCAGGGTAAACATTATATCCGAGTGAGAAGGGTGAGTTGATCGCAAAGTAATTAAGTCGCCGTTTGCCGTTTTGTATGCGTGACTTACCTTGTTTTACTTCTGTTGTGATAGACAGAGAGCTGGGGGAAAAATATTAAGAGGTAAAGGATTTTTTATATTATATTACGGATATAAAAGAGAACGAAATTAAGAGATATGAATCGTATTTTTTGTGATAGTATTACTTATGTCAATTATTTTTTAGGTTATTCTACAATTCCGTACGAATTATAACATATTGGTTTTTAATTACCAGTTTTATTTTACTCCATGGATAAAAACTGTTTGTAATATATAACAAGTAGTGTAGTTTTGTTTATATTTCTTAGTATATATATATATATATATATATATATATATATATATATATATAGTGTATTATTCTGTATGATATTACTTTTATTCCAATCGAATTTTGTGCAATGTCCTCAGAGCAGAAGAACACTACAGAAATATCGATATCGCAAATCTAAAAATAGTTTCTGCGAATATTGTACTTGTATATCATTGGTTTCCAAACATTTGGAATCATGGATAATATCTGATGAATTAATAGTAACTAGGTGTGTATGGTGTAGAAGAAATGAACACGGTTCTTCAATTGGCAGTGAAAATTTATAGGAGTGTTCAAAGTGGCTAAGTTATAGTAATCGTCCAAAAGTTAAAATTTTTAAATTTTGTTGAAATTCCAGAAATTTTTCGAAGTAAAAAACAAAAATTTCAAAATTTACTAAAGTCAGTTCATTCACAATGCTAAATTTTTAAATAAGCGTTTGTTTTTAATTTTTATTAATCTAACAATGTTAAAGTTTTTTTTAAAAAAAACGACACAAATCTATCAAAATTTTCAAAAAAAGAATAAAAATTTCGACATTTACAAAAAAGTCAATTTGGTCAAAATACAAAATTTTCAAGAGGGCAAAAATTTCGAAGTTTTCATAGAATAGATTTTTTGCCAAAATTTCAAAATTATTTTTAAATAAAAAATTAAAAAAAAAATTAAATTATAATACCATAAAAGTTCAAAATTTACAAAAATAAATATTTTTTTTCAAAACTAGGAAAATAAAATTTGAAAAAACCCTAAAAGTCTAAAAAATAATTTCGGCACAAATCTTTCAAAATTTTCAGAAAAAAACAAAAAAATCGGAATTTACCAAAAAGTTAATTTGGTAAAATATAAAATTTTCAAAAAAAGCAAAAATTTCGCAGTTTTCAAAAAATATATATTTCTTCAAGATTTTAAAATTATTTTCAAATAAAAAATAAAAAAAAAACAAAATTATAATACCACAAAAGTTCAAAATTTTCAAACAAAAACAAAAAGTTCCAAATTTACATAAATAAATATTTTTTTTCAAAACTAGGAAAATAAAATTTCAAAAATCCTAAAAGTGTAAAATAATAAAATCAGCACAAATCTTTCAAAATTTTCAAAAAAGAACAAAAATTTCGACATTTACAAAAAAGTCGATTTGGTAAAATATAACATTTTCAAAAGGGGGCAAAACTTTCGAAGTTTTCAAAAAATAGATTTTATAATAGATAATAAAAAAAAAACAAAATGAAAATTTCAAAATTCTCAAAAAAAATCTTGAAATTCACAAGGTAATTTTTTTTCAAAACTAAAAAACAAAATCTAAATTTTCACAATTTCTAAATTTGTATTTTTTCTTGATAAGCTTTGTGAATAATTTTATTCAAACTTAGCTTGATTAAGTTCCGTTTTAACATGTTCACATCTCTTGTAAACATACTTAAGTATTTTGTGCAATAATTTGGTCGCAACTTATAACATTTTATATGTTTTACTGAGAAAAAAAAAATCTAAATTTTCACAATTTCTAAATTTGTAAATCTTATTAATATGTGTTAAGCTTTGTGAATGATTTCATTCAAACTGAGCTCGATCAAGTTCTGTTTATATATGTTCACATCTCTTGTAACCATCTTAAGTATTTTGTACGATATATTGTAAAATATTCGACAATATTTAAAATAATTGTTATTATTTTTTATTGATTATTTTCATTCCTCAAACCATTAATTACAGTGCAACAAGTACCAGCACTTTGGGTCAACTAAAACCTAATGTAATGCAAAAATAATTTTATTCTTATTTTAAATAGAAAAATCATCTTCGTTTGAGCATCTCAAGTTTTTTATGCGGAACATATTACATTATAAACTCGTACAGAGTGCATATCGTAGTTCCACGTGTTACTCCTGCTTCGTGCGATTTTTCTGCGCCAATTTTCTATTTTATTCGCAAAAAATCAACAAGAGTCGAGACACACATCATACGAATGCACTCTATCGAATTTGATAGGAGAGGAGATGAATTCAGAGAGGGATTAGGGGTAATTAGGGGCACTTTATTGTCTTAAAAAAAACCTTCATTGTTAACTTCGCGAAGTTAAAGAATAGTTTATATTTTTGCACAAAAATCCGATTCGTTAATTTTTGAGGCTTCAAGTCATTCTGAATCGAATGAGACTAAATTTAGAAAAAGTATGTGTGTCAAGTATTAAAATATTAATATCAAATCTCTAATTAACTTCCCGTAGGGTAGTTATAGTAATGGGCCAAAAATCGAAAATGAAAATTTTTGCATTTCTCGACGTTATGAAGGTTTCTGAACATCAGAAAAAATTGATGTGTTTGTGTGTATGTGTGTGTTTTGTATGTCCGTCCACGTTTTCGGGCCTACGGATCAACCGATTAGAATGGTTCAAAAAATATTCGTTGTTTATTGATAGAGAGATGTGCTGATTAGTTTTTGGCAAAGGCAGGTTCAGCAGTTACGGAGATACGGAGCAAAAAGTGCAAAAAATAGAAAGTGTAAAGAATTTTTGAGAGAACGGATCATCCGATTTGAATGATCTAAAAAACATTCAATTTGTAATGATTGGAAGAAGAGGTGATTAGTTTTTGGCAAAGGTAGGCCCAGGGATTTCGGAGATACAGAGCTAAATGTTAAAAAAATGACAGTTTTTGATAGAACTAAGCGTCCGATTTAAATGATTCAAAGAACTTTCAGCTTGTTTCAACAAAATAATTGCTTTTGGAAAAAATATTGTTTCTAATTTTTTTTTTTTCAAAAATATTTTTGTAATTTTGGATTAAAAATTGAAAAAATCACCCAGACTAAGCACAGTCTAAACGCCGCTCTGGTACAAATGTTTTTGCAAGTGCGTTTAGAGTGTTTTTGAATTGGAGCACTTTTCCAATTTTGTGAAAACTATTAAAAAATATGAAAATGCCGCCAAGCTAAGCACAGTATAAGTGAAAATGTCGCACAGAATTATTTGCAAATGCGTTTAGACTGTGACTATGCGGGAGCAGTTTTTCAATTTTGTGTAAAGTGGGCAACTATTTTTTTTTAAATTGAATTCGAAATGAAATGACGATTGTTAATGTTCTGGAGATAAATTGATTTATGATTTTCATTTGATTTGCTCAGATATAACAATAAGATAGCAAAAATAATGAAAGTTACAGTATTTGTAATAATATATCTGAAAACGTTTAAAATTTCTCGAATATTTCATTACAGTATGGGAAGTTCCAACAATTTGCTTTAAGGCACAATGCCATACACGACTAGTTAGTTATTTTTATCACAACTAGGTGTTCAATTGTTTTATAAATATTTGAATTAATTTTTATATTTTTCTGATATCTATTCGTAGAAATTTCCCGAAGAATTATTTTTATTTAAAATCCCAATTATTTCTATAATTTTAACTGACTTTGCTACTGCTTGACATCAGGTTGTCCGAGAAAGGTGCTTCAATCCGAAACTTTGCACTTGAAAGACCAAAGCTCTTACCACTATGCCACATACCAGTCCAAAGAATTTTATAATAAAAATTATTCTTGTGATAAATTTTGATTTATATATATACTAGCTGTCCCGGCTAACTGATGATAAATTATTCGATTGTAGATGGGTGAAATATTAGTGTTTTATGTGTTTTTTTTATTACAAACTATAACATATTTTGTTGCAAAATGAAAGAAATTGGTCAAAAAAAAATTAAAGGCGATCAACTGCCTTTTTTGAAAATTGTGAATTTTTAAAAAAGGCAGTTGTTCATTTTAAAAATGTGAAAAATTTGATTTGCTCAGATATAACAAGATAATGAAAGTTACAGAGTATTTGTAATAATATATTTGAAAACGTTTAAAATTTCTCGAATATTTCATTGCGGTACGGGAAGTTCTAGCAATTTGCCTCAAGGCACGATGCCATACACCACTAGTTATTTTTAATATCAATATCAGTATTATATCTATTTTATCAATTTCCCAAGATACAAGTACTTTTCCTAAGTACCATCGAGATCTTCGAGAAATGCCAATCTCATACTCCTAAACTTCAACCTCCTATTCTAAGGATTACATCAAAGATTTAATATAATATCCTCACTATAATATATATATATATATATATATATATATATATATATAATACCGGATAGTGTGCTAGTAACTATAGATGTCCCTTCGGAGACATCAAACGAGAAGATATGCGAATTTCTAAGGAAATTCGATATTGATACCTTTGCAAAGGACTCTTGGGACAAAATTCGAAGATTTGGGAATAAAAATATTAGAATTTAAGGTATAGGTAATAGAAATATTAAGATAGGAAACAAATAGTAGATTTTGATATCAGAATTAAAAATAAGTATCATTCTGCAGTTCGTTGAAGTTCAAGGATAGTTCTTATGACAAGAAATAATCGAATAAACCCCTAAAAACAGCCCTTTTCTTTTTCTCATACAAACGTTTTCTAACTAAAACGTAGAATCAATTTGAGCTTTATTGCTATTATATAAATCATATTAAATTACAAGCACTCACTGTATACTCCTCCTAAACGATTATGCGGATTTTGATAAATCTTTCTGAAGTATGTTTAGGAAATTTTCTAGGTTGTATGTGATTATAAAGTACTGGGATGTATGTGCAGTATTGTAGAAATAAATGGAAAAAATACAAAAAACGACATGTCATTGTTTAAAGCTTTAAATTTCTACATTTAACGTGCATTTTGGCGTGAAGAGTAATTTAAAAAACTCACGAATTTAAAGCAAAGTAACTATTCAATATAAATTCTAACTTCGTAATTTTTTCCAAGTTATACTACATTTAGTAGCAACTTGTGTTTTTAATATATTATTTATCCAAGTATATATTTTGATCAAACGTTAAAAAATTTACTATTT